GCTAACGGCATCGGGCGTGAACCCGCAACTTCCTATTCATCCATTAATCACCCCGGGGAGGGATGAAAAATGAGAGAATGAAGAGTACCGATGGTTGTTCCCGTCTTCGTCATGAAGTGCAGGATTTGATTGATAACAAGGTTATCCTACCACCCACCTCAGGCAAGCCCGTTACCACTCAGTTGTTGGATTTCGAGGGCTCAGATACTGCGAGTATGTGAAGTGGACCGCCTGCGGGCAACATTTGGTGTATTTTTGAAGCGTCTGGCACGCATTTTTGAGCATCGGTGAAACCGAGTTTTGTAAATCCTGGCTTGGATATCGAGTCAGTCTTTTGTTTTGAGTCTGTCTCTTTGTCTTGAGTCAGTCTTTTTTGCTTAAGGGTCTGTCTGGTTGTATCGAGTCAGTCCCCGTTGTATATAATACCAGGTGATTCTGGGGTTGTTGTCCCTAACGCCATTTTATTATTGTCTGTTTTTGTTCTGAGTCTGTTCCTGCCGAGGGGCCAGTTGCACCAACAGAGCCGATTGAAACAGCTGTTGCTATCTCACACTTTATGATTGCTTTCAGCATAAGTGCCAGAGAATTTGATTGGGCTAACAGTACATCTCGCCTGCTCTCCTGCGTGCCAAACTCATTGCATTAACCTAAGTTTTTCAAAAAATGAACCTTTTGAACACTGCGGTGATGAAAACGAAGAGGAAGGAATTCCTCGGGTTTTGCAAAATTTTGATCATTTTGAGAGAAAGAGAGGCGTGCTAAGCCTTTTAATGAGTGAGATCATGCTTGTCAGCGTGAGTACTGAGAAGGATCCTGGCCTGATCCAGACTGGTTCCACACTATTTTCGGCGCGAGCGATTTGTCGCTTTCTTAAAAACTTTCAAAAACAGATGTTTTGCGCGGCCCTGTGAAGACTTGTGTGGAATCCCTCTTGAGGTCGCGCAGCCTAGGATCGCTCTCAGCCTCAAAATTCAACCTATTTGTTTTCCGACTTTGAACCCGTTCAGAAAGTTCAACGGACAAACGCCATGAAAGGCCCGTGTGGCCAGTTTTGAAGTAGCCTTCGATCAAGAAGCACCCAAGCCAAATCAGAAGGAGTGAATCTCGCCGGAAGAAGCTCGTGGAGCAACCGGGATGGATTCTCCGCAAATCAGCGTAACAGCCGTTCTCCTAGACACGGAGAGGTTTCAATTTCAGGAACCATTTGGCATGGACTTGCTACACTTTTACCCTTTGAGAGGCTCGCTGGGTCGAAAACCCGGAAGGGCGACCCAGGCAAAAGTTAGAGCAAGAGAAAAATACAGAAAAGCAAAAAAATACAAAAAAGACAAAAAAAGAAGAAAAGAAAAAAATGAAAAAAAGAAGAGAGAAAAAAGGAAGAGCAAAAGAAAAGAAAGAATGCAAGAAAAAAAGAAATAGAAAATGAAAGAAGCTCGCAAGGTCGAAAACCCGTATTGGGCGCCTTGGCAAAAGTGAGAGCCAAACAAAGTGAAGGTTAAAATACCCGAGTGGACCTTAACCGGAACTACGTAAGGCTTGATTCCCATGTTTGGGATACGTAGGCAACTTCATCATGAAGTCCAGCCCCCAACGCTTTCATAGCGTCTCAGTCCATGCAATGGTTTCGATTTCATCCCCAAAATCCAGTGGCCGACACCCTTCAAGGTGATTGTGTCCATATATGTGTTGTGACCGTCTTCGTCATCTCTGTGTCCGAGAGTTCGACCACCGCCAATGAAGACTGTTTACAGATTGCTGCGGCACCATCCCAAACAAGGGTTAACTTTCCGTTGCCACGAGCCGCCGTGAGCCGCCATTCAAACTAGGGGCAACTTTCCGTTGCCTCCCACTCCCTTCAAACCAGGGGCAATTTTCCATTGCCTCCGATCCAAGGTTGCGCATCTCGAAGAGTAAGTTCCATGCTCGTTGAGCATTGACTGTTTGAAAAATAGTTTTTGAAAATTTTTACTGAGGTTGACTATTTTCTCGAAAACTATTCCATTTTCCAAAACTGGACCATTGTCTTGGACCCAAAAAAGGAAAATTTTCAGTGCTTACAGCCTGACTTGCACGGTTTTCAAGTCAAAAATTGAACAAGTACGTTAATCCGACTCTCTTTTTGATCAAAATTGTTTTAGTAGAAAGCAAAAACAAAAAAATGGTTAAAATGATGAACTAGGGGCACAATTGAGCCAGGCACTCTGTCTCCCCCGATCGTCAACATACTTGCCAGAAGAGCGCTCTACCCGCCAGAAGAAATAGCCGTGAGCTAACGGTGTTGAGCATGAACCCACACCTTTCTATTTATCCATTAAGCACCCCGGGGAGGATGAAAATCTGAGAGAGATTGAAGAAATAGAGCAGTCTGTAAGTGAGAGAAAAGTATGGAGAAGGTTTTGAGAAAAATCCCGAGCTTTGAGAGTCAGAGTGATGTGAGAATCACAAATCAGACAGGGCGGGAAACACTGCCTAGAGAAACTGGCTCCTTGTGGTCCGAGGTCCCCCATCTTCGCTAACGCGTCTGTATGTCGTGTCTTTTGTTTTGTATATCTCAACCTTTGTTTTAGGTCTTTTTCGAGCGTGTCTCGTTGTGTTTAGGTCGTGTACCTCTTTGTTTGAGTCCTCCCCGCTGTGTTCAGTTGTAGGCTCGATATCCCGGTTTGAAAAACCCTCATTCAATTTCAAAAATCATTTATGCTCAAGAATGTTGTGCCATTCTCTACATTTGAGCGTGTTTCGATTTCAACCGGTTCCACCTTTGAGGCCGTCTTGTCAGATTGGGCTATTTTGTTTAGAATTCGCTGTGTGCAGAGTGAACCGAATGCTGTACTATGGGCTGTATGCAGTTTGATCCCTAACAGAGTAAGGGATGTGTGTCCAAGAATCAGGCAGTGGGTTGCTTGGGTTATTTTGCTGTTGGCTATTTAAGTTATCTGATTATTACAGTGCGAGTGTTCAATTTTCAGACAACCAATCAATTTCATTTACATTGAGGTGTAACATGATGAGATGCGATGCGATGCGATGCAATGCATGAAATGAGTAAATGTAAACACTTTTTCAGATAAAAAGTCCGTTTCATTTCATTATCTTTTCAAATGTACAAGTTTTGGAAACAAAAATCTGCCTGCGGCAGTACAAGGTAATCTAACTACCAACAAAAAGAAAAGTACAAAGAAGAAAAGGTGACAAAAATCCGCATCCATGTCGAGCACTCCAAGGGCTGTCAGTCCGTCCTGGTCCTCTTCCTGGACGAGGGTCCAGGAGCATCATCAGCGTCGTCGTCAGAGCCCGAGCTAGAACCGTCTCCGGTCTCCTCCTCCGATGACTCGGACTCCGCATCTGCCTCCGCCTCTGACTCCTCGTCATCGTCATCATCCGGGACTAGAGCTCGCGAGCTACTCCCGACGGGAGTACGCCCTCCCCTGGTACGGGGAAATATCCTACCCTCCTCATCTCTCCTCCGAGCAGGGACAGAAGGTCTAGCTGGAGCACCTCCTGCCATGGGAATCTGGAAAGGAGGCTGAAAAAGTACACAAAAATTGAAAAGAATAACAAATACATAAATTCAATTTGATTCAACTCATTACAACCTTCCCCCCTTAAGGAATTTCGTCCCCGTAATTCGCCTTGATAAAAAGAATAATGGGATTTACTCTTAACATAATCACTTAAGCCTTAAACACAGTGAGTGCAGTGTGTTTGAGTGATTCAGGGCTAGTGCAGTCAAATGTCCGCTGGAGCATCCCCATCATCGAGGCATTCATCGCCAACGACTGACGGGTGTACCCAGAAGAAGCCTGCAAAAGTATCAGATGCATCAATATTCTGTGGAATATCAAATAAACTGAATTGAAATGACTGTACGAAATGTAGTGATACATACCGGTGGTAAGTCGGGGACGTCGATGAACTCGTGACCAGCCGGTGGAGGGGCGAAGGGGATCTGATAGGTCGACCCACCCTGCCCCTGGAAAGTCAGTACAGCGGGCAGGGCAGGCCAGCCAGCTCCCCGTCCTCCCTGCACTCCGCCCCTGCCACGGACCCGGGCTCTCCTCGTAGCCCCTACTCCAACTCCCGCTCCGGCCCCAGCTGCTGATGCCACAGGCCTAGCCCCCTCTGCTCGACGGCCGCTCAGAGGCCGCATCAGGTACGTCCGCACGTACTCCTGATAGTCGCCGGTACCTCTGAAACCGCCCTCCTCCCAGCCAATGGTGTAGTCGTCCGTCTGCTCACTGGTGAGCCCCTCGGTCTCCCTCATATCCGTAGGAGGGGGAACCGGGACTATCTGCTCAGGTAACCCCAGGGTCTGGCATAGGAAACGCTCCCCTACGTACCAAGCCCGACAGACCGGGCCCTCAAGCAAGATCCGTAAACGCGAGGTCTCCTCCGCACCAGCGAACCGATCTCGTATCGCCGCTGGCAAGGGAGCCCACGGCCGCCATATGATCTGAAAGTGACAGACAGGTTGTTATCTACTGTTTTGAAATATGTAGTGGGAAAGCGAAGCTTAAATGAGCTGCAAGTAAAACATACCTCGGCCGGGGTAATGGTGTCGAAGTATCGGCGGAAGAAGCCGAATGTCTCCCGTGGTCGCCGGGTGCATCTCCCGTCGAAGCGACTTGAAAACGGGACGGCCAGAGGAGTCTCCACAACTGGCACAGGAGCGAGCCTAGGGAAGTAGGCGTAAACCCACAACTGCAAAACAGATGTCAGTACGACCATCAGTTGAAGCAGAATGCAGAATAAAGCAGAAATGGCAGAGCCGTGTGTTGTGCAGTGTATTGTGTGTAGTGTACAGTGTGAGCAATGTACAGTCAGTGTGAAGCAGAATGTATGTGTGTGCCGTGAGTACTGTATACAGCAAGTACGAAACAGACTACAGTGTGTGCAATGTACAGAGTACAGAGAATATCGGACAGAAATGAAAAGCGGAGAAGAAGTGTACCTCCCAAGCCCGCCAGTAGCCTCCGAGTAGCTGGCCGCTGCCGCGAGAAGCCGAGCTCATGTATCCATAGAGAGTGGACAGAGCGGCGCCGCCCCAGTCATAATGCAGGATGTCCCGGACGTCCACCAGTGCGCTGAGAAGACAGAGAGGCACGGTGTTCGCCCGGTCGGTGAAAATGGTAGTCCCGAACAGGAACATGAGGAAGCCGCGAGCATACCTCTCCACGTCCTCCTGGGTCATCTGCACCTCCTCCTCCAACACAGGCTGGACCCGAAACTGTACCTCGAACCAGGAGTACCGCACAAAACCTGGACGAGCTAGTGGTGGAGCCTCCCCCAGTAGATGGACCTGAGCGGCGGTCCACTCATCCATCGCGATGTCAAAAGGGATCGGATCACCCCCTACCCCGATGCCTGTGAGCATCGAGAAGTCATAAGGGGTCATCGTCATATCCCCTGCAGCAGAGAAGTGAAAAGAATCGATGGTGTCCCACCATCTCTCCGCCAGAGCGGCAAGGAGAGGTCTGCATGTGGAGAGCCTGGAGAGTCCTCGGCAGAAGGCGCCGAAACCCGCTCGATCCACGATGCGTCGGACCGCGCCAGGGAGCTCATCATACCACTCCCGAGCACCAATATTCCCATACCCGCGAGTGGTATGGGAACCCTCCTACAAACAGAAAATAACAATTGCAAGACAACATTCAAAATGCAATTTTGAAAAAGCAGATGAAGCATGTGTGAAAGTTTAGCAGATTCAGGCAAATACCGAGTGCCGGTGTGCTTACAGTGAGATACGTGTGATGTGTCAGCGTGTTTGGGTGTTTCAGAGCAGATATAGCATGTGTGCAACTTTAATAGATTCAGACAAATACTGGGTGCCAGTGTGTATGCAGTGGAATACAGTGATCCGGGGATAGTGCAGTGTGTGTG